CCAACTGCCTAGGACCCCCGACTCTCCCCCCCCACCGAGTCTCTTTCTTTCTCCCCCCAAATCTGGGCCTTCGCCCCCGTAAATGTCTATTTTTGTGCACAGTGTTCGTTGCGGAAGGGGGGGTGTTTAGGACCCCCCCGTGAAGGACAAGGCCCCTCCAGCCACTGCGCTCTCTCCCCTCTCTTCCACCCGCCCCCCCGATTCATGGGGGGTTAATTGGGGAGGGGGCAGTCCCCACCGCCCCTCCTGTCCGACTTCCAGCCGAGTTGGTTCGCTCAGTGTTTGTCCTTTTTTTTTAAAGTATTATTTTTACCTCCAGTGTTACAAGGGAGGGGAAAAGGAAAAGGGAGATGGAGAAGAAGCTATTCTGTAAATTTATTTATTACCGAGACCCTCCTGCTGTTCTCCCTGTCCCACGTCGTGGCACGTGCTTTAACTGTCGGGGTGCCCCGCTGCGGAAAGAGGGGCGCGCTGCTTCTCCGCGGCACCCTATTTCGGTTTGGGGAAAGGGTCCCCTCTGGGGACCCCCCGGGGAGGGTTTTCCTCTGCCGACCCAGGGCAGCAAACTCTCTCTGCACTGGGGGTGGCGGAGTGGGGAGACCCCCTGCGCTGGTGACCCGCCCCCCCTCCTTCCTCAGGGCTCAGGCCGAGCAATATGGAGCCCCCCGAGACCCCTTTTGCCGAGTTGTGTTACTGTTTGAGTTGGATTTTCCACGTTCCTCTCGTCCTGTAAATAAAAGATGCTTCTGTATTTTCCTTCCGGGTCTGCCTCCCGTTTCATGACAGGGGAAGCCCGGACGGAGCCAAGCTCCCGGCGCATCCGTCCGGCCCGACGGAAAGAGGGCCTCTGAGAACGCGCAGAGGGCCTTCCGCCTCTGGGGCTGAGGCCCTCGGGGGTCCGCTTCCCAGCCTGCTGGGGGAGAAGGTGGGTTGACGGCAGCTCTGGGCACAGAAGACAACGCTGGTAGAATCAGAGGGGTCTCTGAGGTCATCTAGTCCAACCCCTGCCCCAATATAGGGTGTCCTTGAGCAACATGGTCCAGCAGGAGCCGGCTTTATGGGACAATGCAAAATGGAATCCAGAGGGACCCAGGCCCTAAAAACATATTTTCCCCACTTGTCCACCCCCCCGTCTGCTGATGGGGAATCGAGAAGGATCAATTCAATCAAAGATCCTGCATAGCCCCCCCCTTTTTCTTCTTCCCTTGCAGGAAAAAGTCCTTTTTTTGTTTGGATGTTCTTAACATTCATGTTCTCACGTTTCTTTATGGCTGCAGAGAGGTAGAGGGCAATGATGCTCATTGTGTGTGTGTGTGTGTGTGTGTTGTAGACTTC